ACCATACCATACCATACCATACCATACCATACCATACCATACCATACCATACCATACCATACCATACCATACCATACTGAAAGGAATTTATTAGTTAGAAACTGATTTAGAAGCACCACACTATTTTCTTAGTTTTCCTTTTAAGTATTGACTTTCATAATCCATTGTTCAACTATTGTTATGTCTTGATTAAAAATGTTTAGATACATGCCCGAAAACATGACAACACATCGAAAAACCGTTATTAATTCATTAGGGAAGGCATTGTTTGTTTGAGTGGCCTGCGATGCAGCCGTAGGCCTGCAGGGGGCGCACCAGTCACTGAAGACTGTGTAAAAGGACCGGAAGTCCGGGTTGCAGGCAGCGTTGCTCAGATTGCTTTAGCATAAGCATAATAAACAATAATAATTTCTTACCATACCATACCATACCATACCATACCATACCATACCATACCATACCATACTGAAAGGAATTTATTAGTTAGAAGCTGATTTAGATGCACCACACTATTTTCGTAGTTTTCCTTTTAAGTGTTGACTTTTATAATCCATTGTTTTACTATTGTTATGTCTTGATTAAAATAGTTTAGATACATGCCTGAAACCATGACCATCGAAACCATCGAAAAACCGAGTGGCCTGCGATGCAGCCGTAGGCCTGCAGGGGCGCACCAGGCACTGAAGACTCTGTATAAAAGGACCGGAAGTTCGGGTTGCAGGCAGCGTTGCTCAGATTGCTTTAGCATAAGCATAATAAACAATAATAACTTATTACCATACCATACCAAACCATACCAGACCATACCAACATTATTTATAAAGCACTTAACCATAGGACCAAAGTGAGGTACAGTCACAGTCAATAAAACACACAACAGTCACAGTGCATAATAAAAGCCCAATTTGAAAATAATAAAAATAATAATAAATTTTTGTTGTTATTAATTGATTCAGAATCATGTTTGTATTTTGATGCATTAGAAAATATAACCATAAACTCTATGAAATTTCCCACAAAAAACAAGATTTTTTCTTTCTTCTTTTATTTTCCAGGAGAAATGGGGACCAAACCTTACTGCAATGGCCATGGAAACTACAGTGCTGAAACGTGTGGTTGCATATGTGAGCCTGGTTGGAGGGGAACCAACTGCACTAAGCCTGATTGTCCTGGTGGTTGCCAGGACCGAGGTCGCTGTGTGGAAGGAAAATGTGAGTGCTTCAAGGGCTTCTCCGGGGAGGACTGCGGGCTTAAAAGCTGCCCTATGGGCTGTGGTGCCCATGGCCACTGTGTGGGTGGTGTTTGCGTCTGTTCAGATGGTTTTTTTGGAGAAGACTGCTCTCAGAGTCGATGCTTGAACAACTGCTTGGGCCGCGGTCACTGTGAAGATGGAGACTGTGTGTGTGATGAACCTTGGACGGGCTTTGACTGCTCTGAACTCATCTGCCCCAAAGACTGCTATGACCGCGGACACTGCGTGAATGGCACTTGCTACTGTGACGAGGGCTTTGGCGGAAAGGACTGTGGTCAGCGCACCTGCCCCAACAACTGCAGGGGCAATGGGTTTTGTGTTGATGGTAAATGCATTTGCTCTGCAGGTTACAGTGGTGAGGACTGCACTCAGCTCACCTGCCTCAACAACTGTAATGGCAGAGGCACATGCTTCAATGGGATGTGCATTTGTGACTCAGGCTACCAAGGTGAAGACTGCAGCCAGTTAGCATGCCTGAACAACTGCAACAGCAGAGGCCAGTGCATAAATGGACAGTGTTCATGTGATGTTGGCTTCCAGGGAGACGACTGCTCCGAGCTTTCCTGCCCCAGGAACTGCCAGCTGATGGGACGCTGTGTTAACGGTCAGTGTGTATGTGACGAAGGCTATGCCGGTGAAGACTGCAGTATTCTCGTCTGCCCCTCAAACTGCTACGCCCGGGGGGAGTGCATTGAGGGACGCTGCGTGTGTCACGCAGGCTATGCCGGTGAAGACTGCGGTGATCTGAGCTGTCCCAACAACTGCAGAAATCGTGGCAGGTGCATTGACGGGCAGTGTGTCTGCGATGAAGGATTCAGTGGAGAGGACTGCAGTCAGAAAGCTTGTCCCAATGACTGCCTGGCACAGGGTCACTGTCACGAGGGCAAATGTGTTTGTCAGGAAGGCTACACCGGAGAGGACTGCTCTGTCCTTACGTGTCCAGATAACTGCAACAAAAGAGGGCGTTGTGTCAATGGAAGGTGCATCTGTGAGAGTGGATATGAGGGAGAAAGCTGCTCAGAGCTGAGTTGCGTCAACGGCTGCCAGGACAGAGGTCGCTGCGTGAGCGGTCAGTGTGTCTGTGACGAAGGATATATTGGGGAGGACTGCTCAGAAGGTAAGAAGTTCTCAATACAAATACAGAAAAAATGTCAGTTCAGTTTCTGAAGCAATATAGAAACAAATTCAGAATAATGTCATTTCCTTTCATTCTCAAAACTGACTCACCACTCACCCTGGGAGAATTTTTGTGTGTAGACATAAAAGGGACTTTTGGTTTGTGTGTTGTAGATTCTTGCTCTCTGTTTGGGATTTCTTGGCAGTTGTTCACACCACAGCCAGATGTAGCTCTGGAGTTTACATTAGCTCTACATGGTGGATATCCAGCCACTTAGGGCATGAGAAACCACCTGAAAAAACACCCTCATCAGCTTTTTTTCTTTTCAATATTTCCAGTGTCACCTCCAAGGGACTTAAAGGTCGGTGAAATCAGCACAGACACTGTGGACCTATCCTGGAACAATGAGATGCTGGTCACAGAATACCTTGTCACATATGTGCCCACCAGTCCTGGAGGTCTTCTCATGGAGTTCACCGTGCCTGGAGACAAAACTGCTGCAACTGTAAAGGAGCTTGAACCTGGCATTGAGTATCTGATCAATGTCTACGCTGTCCTGAGCAATAAGAAGAGCATTCCTGTCAGTGCAAGGGTGGCTACAGGTACAACACAAAATGTTACTTTGTTCGTTCATTGAGAATATCTTCAGGAAAAAATTGATGTATTTCACAACATATTTTGCGCATTTTCAGAGCTCCCACAGCCAGAAGGGTTAAGATTTAAATCAGTGAGAGAGACTTCAGTAGAAGTCTTGTGGGACCAGCTGGACATCTCCTTTGATGCCTGGGAGATTCATTTCCGAAACACGGTTAGTCTGGCTTTTCTTTCTGTTTTAATAATCATCATAGAAAAGTGGGAGGTGATGAACTATGCCAGTCTTTTGGAAAGTTCACTTAAACTTGGATTTTCTTTCAGTGCTAACCATTAAAGTAGCTTTGACATCAAAAAAACCCTCACTGAGGGCAAATCGAGATGTCAGAGAGCTGAGGCTCAAAGCACGCTTCAGAATCTGAGGCAGAAATGCTTTGAAAAGAAATGACTGTGCCTGCTGATAAGCCAGAGCCTTTTATTTAGCCACCCCGGTCAACCTTTCACTCAACTTTAAATATGCTGGCCTTTTTTTGACCTTAGGATTTCTTTTGCTGCCTGTCTGTGAGATGCATACATATGTATGTCTGAGGCAAGGACTGATGCAACTGCACAGAAACGGGTGAAGTTTTATGTTGAAGAGGCTCCACTGTCTGCACAGTTTTGAATATAAATATGATTTAAACTCCAGCTGCACAAATAATAATATTGTAATGAACAAAAATCAGACCATTATTAAACTGTCCTCAAACATGTTTGCATACTTTGAGCTGGTCAAATTAGAAAATGACCAGTGGATAGTGATGTGCAGATCGATACTGAAATATACTACTGATACCAGAACTTTATGTTCTAGAATCTATACTAAAATCAAAGTATCGATACTTTGATACTTTATTTATTTCACATACAGTAATGTATATCATTAACAGGAAAATAGTGGAAAATAACTAAACTGTTCCAATTTTGTCTTAAACATGTGGTTGGAGGGAACTACTTTTTCTTCTGCTTGGGTAATGCATAAGCACAGTGGCACATGCTCCATCAGTCACTCAGTCTGTACAKGTATGGCAGGTCATTTTAACATAAAATCTGCTTCTTCTGACTGCAGTTAAATTCTAGATGAGGGGTTCCCAAACTTTTTCATGCTGTGGCCCCCAAACAGCATTAGCTCTGGCCAAGGACCTTCTTGCAAACCCACAAACAATGCTACAAAATATACAAAGTAACAACTTTTTAAAAATATTTTCTCACTTTTAATCACTATTCAAAAAATATTATATTTCTTAAGGATAAGAATATTAAATTGTGCTAAACAAATATAAGGTTAGGGTTAGAAAGACATTTAAAATAATAAATAACTTACTATGTCATGTATTATTTATAAAGCGGTACTTTTCAAGATTTAACTGACACATTATGTGTGTTATCACAAAGTATCAGTATCGGATCAGTATCATCGATACCAGCCAAATTTTACTTGGTATCAGTATCGGAAAGAATGGCAGTATCGAACATCACTACCAATGGACCAATGATGGAGCAAAGAAGTCAAGTGTCAAACCTAAATAATATCAATTTCCAGCAGATGCACAGAAAGTCATGTCTTTGAAAAAACAAAATCCAGCAAAGAGCTTTAAAAATGCATGATACAGTTGACTGTATGTCAATTTCACATATTAGCTCTTTGGGAATCACTTTGTTGGAGCTAAAATCCCATTTTCTGTTTGCCAGATTGTGTTATTGTTGGCAGTTTCCATAAATTCAGCTAAAGAAATGGGAACAAATTGTGTTTTTGTGACAAGCCTCTGGTAACAAAGAGTCTAAGGATTCAAAGCAAAAAAGTTCTTGCCTGGCTACATATGATGTGTCAACACAAGATCATCACTTGATTTCAGAAACAATTTAAACAATAAACAAAATAGCTGCAACAACTGCAAAAAATACTTCAAAACAAAATCAACGAGTTGTTCAACAAAATTTTGGAGATATCTGCTTAATTCAGGTTATTTTTTTAATTCTTTGTTTTAGATCATGTGTGAGCTGAAGATCTCTCACTGTGATTTGTTGGATTATACAGACGCTGGAAACTTCATGACTTTTTTTTAACTTAAAAGTGTATTTTATGCCTTGGAATTTATTTTTCCTGTGTCAAACCTGCAAATCTATTTCGTCTGATCAAATATTTGAAGTCATATGAAATTCATTGCATAACCCCCTTAAGGACCTTTAAAATAGTTTTCTTTGAAACATTAAACTGTCAATAGACAGATCTAACCACACTTTAATATTCTATCTCTAAGGTGTAGCAGTTGAAACATAGTCTGTTGACATTTGCTAAAACCTGTTTTAACACCAACCTAATGAGTTATGTGAAGTTATTCAGGGCCCGTATTCACAGTCTATCTTGCCATATTTCCGGCAATATTCCTGAACATGAAGTCCGAGGCAGTGATTGGTCCATGCTGGGGTTTCTTCTAACGACGTCATCCAGGATCAGCTTAGTGGCACAGACAGGTGTCGCAAATCAGCTCTAAGACTGACACTTAAGAATTACTCCTACACTTAGCTTAAAGTAAGACTGAGACTTAAGAATTACTCCAACACTTCACTTAAAGTAAGACTGACACTTAAGAATTACTCCAACACTTCACTTAAAGTAAGACTGACACTTAAGAATTACTCCTACACTTTACTTAAAGTAAGACTGACACTTAGGAATTACTCCTACACTTAGCTTAAATAATGACTGACACTTAAGAATTACTCCTACACTTCACTTAAAGTAAGACTGAGACTTAAGAATTACTCCTACACTTTACTTAAAGTAAGACTGACACTTAAGAATTACTCCTAAACTTTACTTAAAGTGAGGCTGACACTTAAGAATTACTC